TAATATAAAAAGATTTAAAAATTATTTCTTTCGAACATATATAAATAGTACTGAAAATATTATTGTAATATATTAAACATAAATTGAACGGAAGAAGAAACACGAATATATCTTGAATTAATAACGGAAGAGTATTAAAAGAGTATTATATAAGTATAATGGATGGAAAAAATGCAAACAAGAGGTTATGAAAAAACAGCTGAACAAATGAAGTTGAAATTTAAAAAACTTAAGAACAGAGCATATATAAAATGTAAAAGAAATAATAATGTCAGTGATGTTGCTTCCTCAACGTGCCTATTTTATAACAAGTTAGATGTATTATATGGAAGCAGGCCATGTGCTTTAGCTAACAATAACAGTATACTATTATTGTAAACTAGGCAAATGGCCTGTTTCCATATAATACATCTAATCTCATTACTCTCTCTCTCTCTCTCTCTCTCTCTATATATATATATATATATATATATATATATATATAGTAGTAATAGTGATGAAAATAGTACTGACATCTTTTGCTACCCACTACTGGATAAGAGATTTTCGTAAAGGATAATTGGCTGCTAAATACTGTTTTAAATGGTCTCTTACTGTTATACCAAGCATGCAATTTCTATCACGATTTTGTACAATTCTCGGTTGAGGAAACGCTTGATCATTGTTAGACACTTCTTCTAACCATTCAGTGTAAAACCGTTCCTTATGACTTTCTACAAAATTGTGCAATGTACAGCAAGCAAGAATAATTTGTGGAGAAAATGTATAAGCACAATCCATTTTCTTGCATAAAATTCTCCATCTAGCTTTTAATCGACCAAATGCCATTTCCACCGAAACTCGTGCAGAGTTCAAATATACATTAAAAGACTCTTCTTCTGCTGATAACGTGCCTGAATAATCTTTGATAAGCCACGGTAACATAGGATAAGTCGGATCACCTACAATCATGTATGGTATATCCATACCATCAATGACTTTAGATGTCTGAAATTCATAAAACATTATATGTATATTACATAAACATACAATCCAACTTATATCAAGCAAACAAAATTTAACTTTTACTTGAGGAATAATAGTCTGCGCGTTCTTGTATATGCTACTTTCCTTGAATACAACAGCATCGTTCACACTTCCAGAATGTTTTATTACAATATTTCTGAATCTAATGATAAAGAATTAAAAATTTTAGATTTTGATATATCCCAAGCTCTCAATTTTGCACACTTACCTCCCATTATGATCGACAACAGCCATTACATTATATGATGGCCATCCTTTCCTATTTACAAAGTCCCGGTAGCCTTCATGTGGTGGCGTAATTGGGATGTGTGTTCCGTCAATACATCCAAACAATTGTGGAATAAACGTTTTCTTTTCAAATTGCAGCGATATAAATTTGGCTTCATCTTCAGAAGGCATAAATATAATATTTTTTGTCATAATATCGTTTATGGCCCTGGTCACTCTAAATAAGCACTTACGAACTGTTGATTTATGAACTCCCATCACATCACCAACAATTCTGTATTCGGCACAACTTGCTAATTTATATATAGCTATTGCTACCTGTTTTTCGACAGATAAAGGCTCTCTGGATTTCAGGAAAAGTGGCTTAGGTTCTAAATCACCTCGAATAATGTCACAAAGTGTTATGAAAGTTTCTTTTGACATTCGAAAAGTGGCAAGCCATTCTGTTGGAGTAAAATGTTCTCCTACGATTCTTTGCCAAAAATCGTTGCTTCTTATTTTAGTCCATATCCTTCGGTATTGGATACCATCTAAAATAAGGGATGGTAATATTGGATCGGATATTAGACTCCATTGTATAAGTAATTC